GGAGTTACAAGAAGAGCAAGTGAAATAGAAAGTAAGCAGAAGAAAATAATAAAAAGCAGAAATCAGCGAAATAGGAGACAGAAAACAATTGAGAAAATCAGTAAAACCAAAAGCAGATTCTTTTCTTTTGTTGTTTTTTTGAGGAAGGTTAGCCCTGAGGTAACATCTGCTGCCAATCCTCCTCTTTTTGCTGAGGATGACTGGCCCTGAGCTAACATCCATGCACATCTTCCACCGTTTTATGTGGGACACCTGCCACAGCATGGCTTGACAAGCAGTGCATAGATGCACACCAGGGATCCAAACCAGTGGACTCTGGGTCACTGAAGCAGAATGTGTGAACTTAACCGCTGCACCACTGGGTCAGCCCGAAAAAAATAGATTCTTTAAGACCAATTAAATTAAATAACTTCTAGTCAGACTAAGAAAAAAGAGAATATATACAAATTATCAATATTAAGATTGATATAGATTATATTTTAATTTCTACAGATATTAAAAGAATAATGAATATTACAAATAATGTTATGCTACTAAATCTGACAACTTAGATCAGAGGCTGGAAAACTATGTCATGCATACCAAATCTTGCTTGCACTTACTTTTGTAAATAAGATTTTATTTGAGCCAAGTCACACTTGTTTACCTTTTGTCCATGACTGCTTTCACGACACGATGGTGGAGTTGAGTAGTTGCAAGAGAGAGACTGCATGGCCCACAAAGCCTAAAATGCTATCTGATCCTTTCAGAAAAAGTTTGCTGATATCTGACTTAGATAAAAAATGGGAAATTCCTTGAAAGGTACAAGCCACCAAAATTCACTCAAGAAGAGCAGATAACCTGAAAAGCCTGTTAACTGTCAAAGAAATTGAGTTAGTACATTAAAAGTCTTCCTACAACAAAACTTCAAGTCCAGATGGTTTCTTTGGGGAATTCGGCAAAACACTTAGGAAGAAATAATGCCAAATATATACAAACTCTTCCACAAAATTTAAGAGGAGAGAATACTGAACAACTCATTCTACAAGACCAGTATTATTCTGATAGCAAATTCAGATAAAGGCATTACAAGAAAAAGACCAACAAAAACTACAGAATATGTCTCATGAATATGGATGGGAAAAAAAAGTTAGCAAAACTTTAGCAATTAAATCCAATAATATATAGAAAAGATAACACATCATGACTAAGTGGGGTTTATCTGAGGGACACAAGGTTGGTTTAACATTTGAAAATCAAGTAATGTAATGCACCATATTAATAGACTATAAATGAGTTTACCATGATGTCAGTATACAACATCAGGATACAGATTTAAATGTGTTTCTATAAAATTGAAATGAATAATGGGAAACTGAAAAAATATGATTTACAATAGCATCAAAATATGAAATAGGGATAAACATGACAAAAATGTACAAGACCCACACATTAAAAAGTACAAATTACTCTTAAAATGAAAAACAAACAAATAAGTAGAAAAACATACACGGTACATGGATCAGAAGACTAAATATTGATAAGATGCCAATTCTCACCAAAATTGATCTATAGGTTCACTGTAATTCCAATCAAAATTATAGCAGACTATTATTTAGAAAGTGATAAACTCATTCTCATATACAGAGGCAAAAGATTTAGAAGAGGCAAAGCAAATTTGAGAAAGAACAATGAAGTTAGAATACTTTACTACCTTATTTCAAGACTTATTATGAAACCACAGTAATCAACACATATAGCATTGGTGCCAAGATAGAGAAGTAGATGAATGGAAAAGAATAGAGAGTCCAGAAATAGACTTACACACATATGACCAACTGAGACACAACAAAGATACAAAGCCAATTCAATGGAGAAAAAGAATCTTTTCAAAAATGGTGACAGAACAATCGGATCCAAATATACAAAGAGATGGGCTTTTGATCCATCCTTTGCACCATTTAAAAAATGATCTCAAAGTGGATTACAGACTTAATGTAAAACCTAAAATTATAAAATTTCGACAAGAAAACTAAAGAGAAATTCTTTGTGAACCTTGGTTGGGAAAGATTTCTTAGGTAAAACACCAAAAGCATGATACATAAAAAAACAAAAACAATGCTAAGTTGGATGCCATCAAAATTAAGAACTTCTCTTCTTTTAAAGATTAAGAGAATAAAAAGGTAAGCCACATACTGGGAGGAGATATTTGCAAATCATATATCTAATGAAGACTTGTGTCAAGAATGTATAAAGAACTCTCAAAACTCAATAACAGGAAAAGAGTCAACCACGTAAAAAGATAAGCAAAAGATTTGAAGAGAGATAAAGAAGATATGCAGAAGACAAAAAACACACAAGAAGATGCTCAACATCCCTAGGTATTAGAGAAACACAAATTAAAGACAATGAGATTCCTCACTACACATCTATTAGAATGTCTAACATTAAAGACAAACCAAGCCAAGTCATGGCGAGGATTGTAGAGCAAGTGAAGTCTCAAACATGGATAGGGCAGGTATAAAATGGTATGATCACTTTAGAAAATAGTTTGGCACTTTCAAAAAAAACTAACTGTATACTTACTATATAGCCCAGCTATTTCACTACTACTAGGTATTTACCCAAGAAATGAAAGCATATGTTTATTGGGAGACTTTTACAAGAAACGTTTATAACAGCCATATTTGCAATAGCCCAAAACTGGAAACAACTCAAATTTCCATCAACAGGTGAATGGATAAGTTGTTGCATAGCCATTCAATGGAATACTACTTGGCAACAAAAAAGGAATGGATTATTGATATAAGCAACAAGTTGGAGAATGTAAGAAACCAGAAAATAATACTGAACGATTGTATTTATACAAAATTCTAGAAAATGCAAACTATCGTGACAAAAAGCAGAGCAGTGGTTGCTAGAGGATAGGGGTGGGGTGGGTTGGGACAAAAAAGGAGGGATTACAAAGGGGAAGGAGGAAAATTCTGAGGTGGGTAGCTATCTTGATGGGGATAACAGTTTCACAAGTCAAAATGTATCAAATTGCACACTGTAAATATGCGCAGTTTACTGTATGTCAATTGTATCACAATAAACATGCTAAAAAAAATCCCCCGTCAAAAAATTCCCTTTAAATTAGAATCAAATGCAAATGCCAGCTCTAGCAAGCACAGACTTGTTGGGAAATGTTAGGATAATTATAACACTTGCCTAGAACTCTGGTGACAGCATTACTCTTCCCCTCTTTTCTTTATGAACTTTAGGCTGTAGAATGAAATAAACATAGCAAGCCACAGAAAAAACGCTGAGATCCTGGGGCTTCTGTAATGAGGAAGAGTTGTTGTTTACGGTTCCAGGCACTCCTTTTAGTGTCCTGTGTCACAGACCACTGGGTCTCCACCAAAATCTGCATTTTCCTTCCCTCGAAATATGATTATACATAACTGAATATGGCTAGACATTTTTACTAGCTTCCTGCAGTTACGTGTGGCCATATGGCTATTCTCAGCAACAGAAAGTGAGCAGAAATTATGAATCCCTCATATGAACTAAGGTTTTACGAAGCAAATTGTGTCCCCAGTTTCCTTTCCCTTCAGCTGGCTTGATGCTGATGACAATAGTGCCCCAGGGGATGGCAGAGCCACAGATGGAAGAAAGCTTGGTCCTGAATCCCAAATGGAACAGTGTCACTCACCCATTGGTTATGCTTATGTTAGATTTTTACATGAATGAGAAATTTCTCTTTAGTATTTGATCCATTACACATTATTCATAGCTGTTTAGCTTACTGCCTCACACCAAAAATGTAAAGGCCAGAAGCCTTGTGCCCAGACCCCCCACCCCAGGAGCAAGGAGTGCAAACTCATTCCAAGGGTTCTAATAGTTCTCCCCAAATCTTGGATTGTGCAATCTTCCACAAATCTCACCTACAGAATCTCAGCAAATATTTTGGCTTTCCTTATTAACCAAGGTCATTCACTGGATACCTCCACAGGTAGAGAGTAGCTAGGCTAACTCCTTTTACCTGGAACTTACTACATGGGAAAATAAGTGGGCAGGGGGCAATTACTCAGATTCTTTTACAATCATCTCCTGTCCTCCAACTTACACCAGCTCCATGGGCATCAGTTTGCCTGCTATGTCTCCTTTCCTATTTCTTCCAATTGAAGTGCAGATCATGATGAGGATTGTGCATTTGGCCTCTGTTCTCCAACAAATTTGATCTCCCAGATGAAACCATACCCTAGAGCAAATCAGTGGTGGGCTTTTACTGTAACCTGTACTTCATCTCACCAGATACAAGAGCTGAGCCCTGAGGATAAACTAGTACAGTACTTCTCCCTCATACGCAGGGGGATATGTCCTGAGACCCTCAGTGGAGGCCTTTCTGAAACTGGTGATAGTACGGAATCCTTCATATATTGTGTTTTTTCCTAAGGAGCTTAATGGGTGGGTAGCATATGCAGCATGCTTATCCTGGACAAAGGGATGACTGACATCCTGGGCTGAATGGAGCAGGATAGCATAAGAGTTCATCACACTACTCAGAAAGGCATGCAATTTAAAGCTCATGAATTGCTTATTTCTGGAATTTTTCATTCAATATTTCCCGACCTTAGTTCACCGTGGGTAACTGAAACTGCGCAAAGTGAAACTGCAGATAAGGAAGGGGAGACTTCTGTATTTCCTCAAACCATGAAGAAACTTCAAGTGTCAAACAGAGTGAGGGCTAAAGGCAGGACTAGGCAGAGTCATTATCTAACCATGATCCCTTTCTGTGATCTTCCAAGTTGTAAATTTCTAGATATGCTGAGATCCTCTTCTCTCTGCCATTACCATCTACAAAAATGCCTCAGAGGGGTAAGGGGTCTGTGTAGAGATGAACATACTTGCCTTACAATAGGGCCCGCTTGGGGATGGAATTGCATTACAAGAAGAGCTGTCCAATAGAAATATAATGTGAGTCACATATATAATTTTAAATTTTCTACTATATACGTAAAAAAGTGAAATAAAACAGGTGAAGTTCATATATATTTTATTTAATCCAATATATTCAAAATGTTATCATTGCAATCTACAATATAAAAGTTATTAATAAGAGATTTTACATTATTTTTTGAACTAAGTCTTCAAAATCTGGTGTGCATTTTACACTTACAGCACATCTCAATTCAGAATAGTCATATTTGAAATGCTCAATAGCCACTGGTGGCTCTTGGCTACCATGCCAGATGGCCATCTCTAGTCAACTCCTTGATATTCACTTCCACCCTCACATCCACCTCATAACATCTTTTACAGTTGGCTCCAAAAGCATACAGCACCTTTCTATCAGTGATAGACACTCATTCACTAGCTGTTCATGTTAGAGTATAATAAAGAAAAAGGGGAGTGAAGAAGCTGGAAAAAGTCATTCTCTACCTAAAAGTGCTTTATATTAATTATTTCCTCTTAACATTTTCCTCCCATTCTGGGAGAAAAGTCTTTATTGATCATTTTCTTCATTTCACCTTTTTTCACTTCAATGCATTTGGAAGATTTTTTGTTTTACTTTTTCAATTACTACCCTTAAATTTTTAAGATCTATGAAGGCTGTAGTGAAAACTGAAGTTCCACTCTCTTTCTTTAATTTGAATTTAAAGTCACCAAAATTAGCAGTATAATAGTATTTAGCACTCAATCTTGTATGTACACTTATACAAAAATACAGGATTTTTTGCTCATTAATTGCATTTTATAAAAGCCTGACAACAATGTTACAATGATGTAAAATTACAAGTCAACTTCCTTCATAAACAGAGATGAAAACAAATCCTAAACAGTGTATTAGCAAAAACAAATCCAGTATTGCATTTGGGGAAAACTAGTGATTTATTTCAAGAATTTGTGTTAGATTTAAAAATTAAAACAAATGAATGTACTCCAATAACAGAAGAAAAATGACACGATTATTTCAATAATTACAGAGACAATATCTCTTGAAATTCAGTTTTCCATTCACTACAAAAACTTACAGCAAATTAATAGAGGAGAACTTCCTAAAATGATCCCATGCATCAACAAAACAAATCTTTATCAAATACCATGTTTAATGGTAAAATGTTGAAAACTATCCCCTACTCATTTCAAGATATGTAATTAATTCATCAAGGATGCTCACCATCACCACTGGGTGCATTCTAGCATTGAGTAAATGTTCACAGGGAAAGAAGTAAGAATGCAGAAAAAGAGAAGGGCAAAAGAGAGAGATGGAGGTGCAGATAAGTCTCAGAATAAAGGATACTGCTCAGATGTGGGTGAGAACAGAACGTTTAAGAGCTTGGGCGACGCAGGGTCATCGGGACTACACAGTTACAAGGATTAAAATATGGACAAAGGGTAGTAGGAAAGTAATATTTAGAGAAGGTGTAGATGGGGAAGCCATGGTTTGTGACATTAAAAAAGGAGACGGTGCCAGCCTCATAATCTAAGAAAATCCCAATGCGGCGAGGGGGCACCATCATGGAGAGGAGCAGGGAAGCAGAAGATTCCTCATAGGCTCTATATTCATGTTTATGATGTAACCCAATCACCCAGTATCCACTTTGAGGTTGATATCTGGAGTAAACGTTCTGATTGTTTATGAACTGGTTGAAAGAGAATGGAGGTCCTTCTGTATTACTGCACACCCCCAGGATCCAGTCAGTCTTCTTGGCCACATCTACCTCCCAGTAATGTTTTCCTGAGGAGAAGTGTTGAGAGCCCAGGATACCACAGTCATAATGCTCTTTCAGATGGGACCCAGACAGCTGAGCACCCACAAATCTCACCTGTCTCCGGTTTTTGGATAGGACGAGATTTAAATTAGCTGTGTGTGGATTCAGAGTCACATCCACTGTGAAAAAAGGTACGATGTCAGCAGATGAGAATGGGTACATGGGTCTTATGACACTAAGAAGAGAATAAACAGAAGTGTGGGAGGAACTGGAACTATGTGTTGGAGAGATGGGGGTAGGTATCAACATCTCCCTACCTGAGATTATGTGTGGGTATGTTTGGAGAGGAGCATGTGAAAGAGGATAAGAATGTGTCAGCTCAAAGAAGCCATGGTTTCTACTTACCCCAGTAGCTTTGGACATCTGTCAGCTCTGCATTGATAGAAAGAGTCAATCAGGATGCATAGAACCAACAGTCTCAGGTCTGATATCTCTCCCCTTACCTCACTAAGTGGTGTGCAGGGAATTCTGCGAGGATATGAGCTGGTCATTTCATTCCCCCTTAGATATGAACTGCACCTTCTTCAGCACATTATGTCCCACCCCCTCTGATCTCTCTCTTTGCCACTATTCCCAAACACCAACTATACCTTCTATTCTACTTATTGCTTACTCATACAATAATCCTATATCCAAACTCTGTCCCCTGAATCCTCTCACCTCTAAACACTCGCAGCATCTTTTTCAGATCTGGGGCCCGAAACACACTCTTCAGCTTGGTGGGGAGAGCTTCTGGCTTCTTCAGGGTCCAGAACTCACTCCTAGAGATGACAGACCTTATGAATCTTCTATACTGCTGACCTTGGATTCCTCCAACACCTCTGTCCCCTTCGTCTCCCAAGCCCATTGATGAATTTCAACACACTCTCCTGAAGAAAACTAGCACAATTCTGCAAACAGTCCTGACACTAGAGCCAGAAGACCTGGACTAAACACTACCTTCTCACCATCTGTGTAAATTTTGATAAGATTTAATCCCCCAAAGCCTCATTTTTGTTTGTTTGTTTTGTTATTTTTTGTAAAATCCAATAATTTTCCCTTCTTCCTCTACTTTCTAGAGATTGTATAAACTCAAATAAAATAATGGCTGGGAAATTCTTTGCTACCTCTAAAAAGATACAAAATACTTAAAACGTCAGTGCCATCTTAGAGTGGCTCCCAGGAGGGGCTAGAGCTGTCTGTGTCGACAGGCAGATCATCAGGACCCTGTTGCTGGGCCTTTGAGACTATCAAGTGAAGATGTCTTTTCTGAAGAGTCTGTGAATTTAGGATTTAGGGTCTCCCAGAGTCCTAGGGAGAAAGGCCTTCAGACTAGCATCTTATGATTCACTGTCTCTGGGAATATTACGTTAGCTGGAGAAAGGAGACGTCCTCACCTCCAAACCGAGAGTGAAGACTTAAGAAGGGACAAAAGGCTTCACATTTCATGTGTCTGTTATGTGCTTGAAGGTACCAGGTGTGTGGGCAACTTTAGGTGCTTCCTTGCTGTATGAGATCCCAGAGTACGTGATCCAGAAGAGAACATGTTTTGTGCCAGGGCCGAAACCACTCTTCTCAAGACCTCAGGTCTATGTTTTTACTGGAATTGAGAAAAATGGAAGTCTGAGGAGAATTAAGTAGCAAGCCATGGACTGTTTCAAAGCCAAGAGAAAAAGGGAAATTTAAGGCAGATGTCCCAGGAGCTGATTCTTGGACATCAGCAAATGACGCAGATGGGAAATTTCCTTCTGATAAAATACACAGGACAAAGAAAATCCCTGCATATTTTGAGGCAGACAAAAAACTACTGGAATCAGGGATGGAAGCAGGTACAGAGGTTTGTGGAAAAGGAGTTCCATCACGGAGTACTGGGGGCATCAATGATACTGCAACTCTTTAATCTTAATTTTATTCTGCAATTTGGGGCCTTCCACCACCCAAATTCTCCTGCCATAGAAACCAAGCCAGTCCTTCTATTTGAGGGCACCCAAAAGTTCTCACGATGAGCAACTCAAGACACCACAGTCCTAAATCTTCACTGCCTCGTGACATTTTTTCCCTTCCCCACTGACCATAAGATAACTCTACGGGTGTAGGAATCTTTTGTAAATCCAAGGAAATCACTTTGTATTCTCCTACACATACCTTTCTGTGACTTCACTCGCATCCTAGGGAGGAAAGAGACAGGTTAAACCAAGGAGTAATAGGCCTTGTCCTCGAATACAGCCTCATCCATGTTCCTCAACCCATCCCAACCACCCTGTGATATGATGGGAATAAAGATGGCCCCAGTATGGAGACCATAAAGTAGAGATAAGAAGTCAGAGCAGACTGTCCCTAAGATATCATTTAGAGATGTCGGGAGATGATTAATTCATTCACAATACCTTTGTTTTTACAGTCAAGCATGTATATATAACGTTATATACGCACATCATCTATTATTTGCTAGGCATTGTGCCTGGTCCCAGAGAATCTCACATGATTAAGTCATAATTCCTGTCCTAGAGCTGCTTACATTCTCTGATGCTGAGGATACAAGGGCCTTAAATATGGTTGTTTCTCAAACCTTACCTCCTCCAACCCTCTAAGCTACCTTTACTGACTTCATCTATTTTTCTTGATTTTAATGCACACACATTGATGATTCCCAAATCTGTACTTCTGCTGAGAGCTCTCATATATACCCCAGCAAATGAGCTACAGGCCCCACTGACTCAAGAAGTTGAAAAGAAAACTTACCTTTCATGCAGCCATGAGGTGTCCTCTGTTATCTTCCACCTTCCTCAATGAAACAAGCATCCATTCATCACCAAATTTAGACAAAGTACTGTCCTAAAAACTACCTTATATTCACCCTGCTGTCTCAACTTAGTCCAAGCCCATCCATTTCACACCCTTGACTTCTTTTAGCCACTTGCTGTTCACTGCCATTACTGCCACTGCCTGCCTCATTTGAGTAGAACTGCCTTATGGCCTCCTATTTCATCTCCCTAACTTCTGCTCTATATGCCTCAATGACTCTGAGGAAAGGCTGATGGTCCGATAGATATAATACAGGAATGACTATTTTCTCTGTGTTGGGACTATTTTTGGATGCATTTGACAGAAACACAAATCAAACTGGCTTGAATACTGAAAGTGATAGAGTTGGTGGATGTATCAACTTACACCAAATATCCAAGATTATATCAATCTTAAGGCATAGCTGTACTGAGGAACTCAAAAGATGAAATTAGGATGCTATTTCATGGCTATTTCTCTCTTATGTTAGCTTTATTCTCAGGGTTCACATTTTGAAATTTGAAAGCTGTGGGCTTGCATCCAGCTATCCAATCTTAATGGGCAACAATGTCATACAGATATGGAAAAGAGAAGAAAGAATATCTATGATAGGCAAGTTCCGGAAAAATTGGCTCTGAGATAACACTCAAGTTAAAATGTCCCTTGGGCAGCATACTAACAAGTGTGAGAGTTTAGGCAGGTGCCTGGACTAGTGATATAAATTGATGATCCTTTTGTACTTATGGAGCAATTTTTTTACAGTTCAAGGAGCCTGTGGAGGGGCTAGAAGAAGAAAGGGAAGGAGAAAAGGTTAGGGTAATCCAAATCAAAGATGAGGAACAAGGTTAAGAAGAGCAAAATGAAGATGTGAAACCAGAAGCAGTGAATGAGGAAAAGCTCCAACAGGTGGAAAGCAACTACACCATGCCCCTAACACTAGGGCCCAAGAATAAAGAAGTGATTATTCCAATGGTAAAGGGAGAGGAAGAAGAAAGCAAGAAGGTAAACAGAAAATAAGAAACAGCCTGAAAGTTATAGGGTGTCATAAGGTACATCCTGCTTCAACTTCATGGTCACACTACTCACTCTACAGAGAAAACCACTGCTCAGATTTCAACCTCAGTTCAAGCTCCTCCATCAAATCTCTCTAGACTTGACACGTTGCACTCTCCAAACCTAAACACACACACTCCATAGACCAGAGCCCAGTCTTCTTTGTGCCTCAAAAGGTCTGTTCAAACTTCTACTACAACATTTTAAATGTTTTTGCCCCAGAGAGGAGTGAAAGCAAAGAAGGGCTGGTGATTACATAAAGAATCTCTAAGAACTTGAGCTTGGTATGTTTGCCTGTGACTAACTAGGTGAAAAGTACCTGTCAAATCCCAACAAGGCATCAGAGACAAAAGGCCTAACGGCCAGTGATGCTCAAGAGGAGAAGAAGGGATATGTTCCCTCCAATGACATTTGGCAATGTCTGGAGGGTTTTTGGTTGTCATAGGTTAGGGAGTGCTACTAGCATCTATTAGGTAGAAGCCAGGAATGCTGCTGACGGACTACAATGTACATGGGAGGCCCTTGGACCAAAGAATTTTCCAGCCTAAAATGTCAATAGTGCTAAGATCGAGAAATGCTGCTATAGAGCATCATTGGATGCAATAAATCTTCTCCAAAGTACCAAACGAACTTTTGGACCACCCTTTATAAATAATAAATAAAAAATGAGACATCCCCTTAGCATTTGTACTTTTAATTATCCCATGCTTTACCTGTGACCTCCACACAGTTTAATAAGGAAGAGGCACTACACGGTCAAAGAATTATTCTTGCCCCCATCACGATATCAGCCCCATATCAGAAGGGAAAAAACGTTAGTCTCTCTTTGCCTTGACTCTCCGATTGGGGGCTCCTGCAAGAGTCTCACCTGTAGCAGTTCCATTGTTGACCCCTGACACCGACGCTCAAGATCGGAAATGAGCTCTCTCAGCGACTGGCTCTGGTGGACCAGCTCATCCTCAGCCTCTTCTATAATACTCAGCCCCTTCCTCCCCTCCTCCTCCAGCTTTTTCAGTTGCCGCTGCTCCTCTTTGTCCAGGATGCTTCTCAATTGATTAAACTGTGACTGAATCCTGTGTCTCTCGGGTTCCATCTGATTCTTCAGGAACATGGAAGAGAAAGAGGCTGCTAGTTGGTTGAGCTGAGGGTCTCCTCTATAAGGGATGGGGGAGACAGGCTCAGCACTGCTTTTCCGGCCTGGTCTCAATGAGAGAGGGGGAGTAAATGGGGGAGTAAGTCCTACAGAACCTGTTCTTTCCCTCGTCTATTTTCCCTTCAGTTCTTCCCAGACCACGAGCCCCAGGCTGCCTTATCTAGTCTTCCTAGATAGAGATCATGATTCCTGGGTGAGGTTTAGATTCCAGGCAGCCTCTTGGCTTCTCATGCCTCTGCATCAGCCTCCCATTCCAGTTTTGAGTATTGAGGTAGGAATGATTGGCCTGGCCTAACCTGTCTTTCTAGGAGGTTTCAGATCTTGAACTGCAGAATAAGGTCCAGAATCAGGAATTAGGGGATGCCAATGGTCGTCGCTCCTCTCCTAAGTGGTTGTCTTCAAAAACCTGGATTCTCTTTTGATATGTTCATTTTCTAACTCCCCTTTCTTTGTCCCTCATCCTACACCAAGAACAATACCCTTGTCTGGAAGGGTTGCAGTGAAGGACTAGGCAAAGGGAAGCTCTTCTGGCCAAATCAGGGAACAGAGAGGACCAGGTCTCCTTTGCCCTTGGCTCCCATACCCTGCCCTGATTCCTGTCCCAGGACACCTTCAGGGAGAATCTCTCTTACCTTCCAGGATACCCTCTTCTCTCTAATAACAGCTTTTAGTTTCTCAGCTTCCTGCTGCTCTTGCCTCAGCTTCTTCAGAGACTCTTGGAACTTCTCCTGGAAGAAACACATCAAGTCAAGCAAGGCAAAGTGTTAAATTATTTCAGTGCCTAGACGTAGAATGAATAGGGTAGAGATTATGCTGACCTCAGAAGCCTGTCCTACCCTGGGATGAAAAACTGAGAGGCCAAAGTATCTTTAATATATGGAGAATTGACACCAATGGGAACAGGCTGATTCTCTTTCCTTTAGGGAAAGAACCTAGTCATGTAGCACTTTAACTCCTTTACCCTCATTGCCAACATATCCCCCACACCCAATCCACCAAGCCCATTATTTGCCCCCAGTGGCATCCTCTACTCATAAGGCCATGTAGAGCTGATTTGAGCAGCCAGAAAGGGACGAAGTCTCTACTCTTGGCCAGGGAGGCATTTTCTAGGTTCATTCCTCTAGCTAAATGGGAGGATTACCAAGAAATTAGATTAGAGCATGAAGTTGAAATCTCCTGCTAAGGGAGGAAGTCTCCTCCTCCCTGCCTTCCCTCCATCCTGGTCTTTTACCTGGTACTCCTGGGCAACCTCCTCCATGAGGAACGTGTGGTGACCACGGTGCTCCTGAGAGCGCTCACAGAGCCAGCAAATTAGCTTCCCATCCTCCTTACAGAAGAGCTGGAGTTTTTCTTCATGATGTGCACAAAGATTCACCTTCAGCTGCTTCCCAGAGCCCAACACCACCTCTCTGACCCTCTCTGCTATGTTGGCCAGGTGCCGATTAGGCCGCAGATTCCCAGGCTGGTAGCTGCTCTGGCACACAGGACAGCTGCTCTCCCCTTCTTGGCTGATCATCGATTCCTTGCTGATCCTTGTGATGCAGGCTTGGCAAAAGCTATGGCCACAGTCTATGCTCGCGGGTTCTGTCAGGAGCTCCAGGCAGATGGGGCAGGTCACCTCATCTCGTATGTCCACCAGTACTGCTGAAGTCATTGTGGCCATTCTTCTGGCTCCTGCCCACCCAGCCCTGACTGCTAAGGTGCTCTCTGCTTACAGAATCCTGGGTAGACGGGCAAACAAAAAAGGATCAGGGTAAGAAATGAGGGAAAAAGCTGGGAGGCTGATTGTCCTGAATAAAGAGGGGAGACCCCTGAGGTAACAGGGCTGCTCATTCTAACTTCAAACACATTCTTTACCCCGGCTCATAGCAGACATCAATTTGCACTTGCATTAGTACAATGATTATGATTTCCTTTTACTCCTATTAGATGCAGGGACAAACTGAGGCCCTGGAGAGGAGTGGCCTATTTGCACCACCATCTATTTGACCTTTTCCCAGCCCACCAAAACACAGCCTCAATGTTAAAAGCACCAAAATACACTGCTGCCTTGGTATTTTTGCACTTGCTGTTCCTGCTGCAAGGAAGACCCTTCATCCTGATATCTGCATGACTCTCTGACTTCATTCAACTCTCTCCTTGCATGTTCCCTTATCAGAAGGGTCTGCTGTCGAGCCTAGCTAAAGCATGGCCACCCATACAATCACTCTCCGTATACTTACCTGCTTTTCTTATCACCACCTAATATGTATATTTAATTGTCTTAATCCTCCCACTAGAATATAAGCTCCATGAGATCAGAGACCCATTTTCTTTGTTACCATACCCTCAGAATCTAGCACAGTACCCAACACACAGGTCCTCAACTCCTCAGGAATAAAAATCTAGAACCTCCTCAGCCCTCTATAAATGATTAGACCTTTCTCATGAGCTTGTTCATCTCTTTGCCATCACTCTGGTGTTGCTCTCCAGTATCTAATCTCCAAGATCCGAGGCATCATTTATTGTGAAGAAACTTCCACCTTCTAACAGCTCTGCTCCACACAGAGCCCTTTCATCGCTCATGGTCACCTTCCCAGAAAAACCCAAAGATACAACATCAACCACAATGACGCAAGGTAATAGTTTCACAACTAACACTTTTATGAAACCAATTGTGATTTAGATGTCACATTCACCTGCTTTCCTTATCCCTGAAGGAAAACTGAATAAATAAGAATTTTGGGTCCTTTAATAAAGAAATAAAGACACTAAGTGACTTTAGAAAAACACACATCTCCTAAGTCATAGAGTTGGCATAACTGAATATGTCCAGGGTCATTGTTTAAAGCTCTGTCCTCAACCTCATAACTTTAACAAAAGATAGTCAGTGGTAAGGCTAGTAAACGTCAGGCACAGACTCAGTGCTTTGGGATATGGAAATGGGAAAGTTCCCATTTGATGAAAAAATTTTACCTAATAAACTTTGACTGGAGCTTTAGGGGGCTCCTGTGTCAGTGAGAGAGGAGACAGGTGGCGTGGTTGAGGCCACACATATTCTAGAGATAGGATAGTCCAGAGAGAAAAGACCTGAGGAAGAGGTAGGCAGATGGGGTGGCTGGACCAAAGAGATCTTACAGCATTTAGGGAAAGTATTTTGGAATAACTAATGGGAGAAAAGGATAAAAATGAGGGGAAGGGAGGAATGAAGTATCAATACATGCTACAACACGCACCAACCTTGAAAACACTATGCTAAGTGAATGAAGCCAGACACACAAAAACACACACTATATAATTCCATTCATAGAAATGTGCAGAGTAGGTAAATCTATAGATACAGGAAGTAGATCAGCAGTTGCCGGGGGCTGGTGGGAGAGAGAATGGGGAGAAATTGCTAATGCGTTTGAGGTTTCCTTTGGGGGTGATGAAAATATGCTGGAATTAGATAGTGATGCTGGCTGAATGGCTTTGTGATTATACCAAGAAAAACATTAAACTCTATACCTTTAAAGGGTGAATTTTATGGTATGTGAACTATACATCAATAAACAAAATTGTATAAGAGGGACAAAAGAAGAGAGGGAGGCTACCTTGTGACTTCTAATTCAGGGTGCTCTCAACCTCACAGCTTTCACACAAGGCATGCTATGGGGGAGGATCTCAGAGTTAAGCATAGTGCTATAGTTGGTATGGGGAGACAATGATGAATGAAATAAATACTCTCCAAGGTACCATTTAGACTCCCAATAGGAAACAAATTCATTTTTGAAGACATAGCCAAAGACAACGATTATTAATGCAAACATACATGTCTGCAGGAAGGTATTTGTTTCAAGGAATAGTGGAAGGAAGGCAGAAAATCATCATAGATGCCGTTTTATGATAGTCATGTGCTAGGCAATGCTGATCTCTTACAGGCATTATATAATCTAATCCCACAGTAATTCTATCAGGTAAGTTTAATAACACCTATTTTACAAATATGAAAAGTGTATTTCTTAAGATATTTAATTATCAAAAGTCTCAGAGTAAATAAGTGACAAAGTGAAGATTCTAATCTAGTTTTATGCAATTCCAAATCTCAGGTTGTTAACCACCCTAATACAGTGGCCCATCTGGTTCTTAAAGGGAGAGAATGTTTTCTTCATGTCACCCACGCCACCTGCAAGGCACTCAGATCACAAAGTGGCTCAGCTTCTTTCTATCCAGTTCCTGACTGGTGCTTGTCTCATTTTTGGCTGTACTGATTCAGCACAGCATTCTCCTCCTTCTCCGCATTTAAAGATATCCTACAGCTCCTCCTAAGTTATCTGCAGGCTCCTTCTGCAGTCTAATTCTGCTTCATTCTAGGCGGCACATCCCAGGGACTCAGGCTGCCCCTTTTCCCTGGCAGTGTGGGGCAGAAGAGACGGCAGTGGCTCTAGAGTAATGTAGACCCAGTTCTTAATCGTGAATTTACCAGTCTCTCGTTCTGGAACACTGCAGTAATTCCCGATCTGAGATATGGTCTAATCTTTTGTGTGTACTGAAATCAATTCCTCGCTCATGGTGCAGTTGCAATAATTATCCGTGCCAATGTGTAAAATATTCTCAATAAAAACTAGTTATCACTACACTTACACTGTTACTCCTTTCGATATTCAGTGCTCTTCCCACTCACCATGAGGAAGTGGGCCTCTTCAGTATTTTTACTGGGGATAGACCGAGGTCTGGTAGATGGAGAGCTCTATATAAATATTAGTTTTAAGAATGAATGAATCACTTTCTCACCCCTTTTCATATCTTCTTCTTTTAGACCTATGAGAAAAACCCACTATCTCAATTCATAACAAGATTTAATATGATGGCATTTAAGGACAATGTGAGAAAGCTGGACCTGACCCAGTAGTTTCCGTGTGCCTGGCTCAAGGGCCAGTTAAGAAAGCTCGGAGCTTCTCTTACTAGACAACTAGAGATGCTGGGACTTACTCTAACTTTACTTTTTTCTGTGCTGAATTAAAATAGATGCCCTTATTGAAAAACACATTTATTCTTATTCTTGGAAGTTTTCAGTTGTTAAATTATATTACTGTTGTCTTAAATCACACTGAGAATTTTTTTAGACATTTTCTATTATTTATTTATTTATTTTTACTGTTCCAACAAATTGAATCACTTTCATTGGAAGCCATTCGCTTTGCTTGCTTAGCTGGAGTCTTATTGGGGCCACTAAACATGAGCCAGCTCACAGATGCACTGCCTAATTGAAGGCACACTAGCCCTGGTCAGAGTTATGACCTTCACATGTAGGATAGGCCACAGGGCAGCTGAGAGAAGGTGTAATTCCATAATTTTTCTTTGACTTGTCCTCCAGTAAAGGCAGATGTACACTGATGTTCAACACCGTCAGTGTGGGCATAATTTAAGAACACAAAGTCCTGTAATTTGCACCAATTTTCCCCTCTTGAGGGCCTGATAGGATAAAAAACATCAAATGCCTGTCAGAACAATAGGGCCTTTCAGAAGAAAGGGTGAGAAAGTGTCCGAAACTAAGAAAAAATGCTCTGTGAGACACAGCACAGCTGAACAGGGCGAATATAGAGCATTGCTAGAGATTTAGAGCTGAAAAATGGGACCTCAGTGCTGCCACCTAGTGCACTCTGGTGCTTTTGCATGTACTGGACACATTCATCAGCTTTGCCCTGTTCCGTAACAGCAATGTTAACACTAAGTATTTCTTGAAAGTCTGTTATGTACCGGGCAATAATCTAATTATTCTGCATGCAACAACTCAGTAATTCTTTATAACAATACTGAGTGTCCCTTCTACCCCATTTTATAATTGTATAAACTGAGGGCCAGAGAGGTTAGGTAATTGGTCCAAGTGGTAGATCCAGGATTTGAATATATTCCTCTTCTCCATAAAGGGTACAGAATAACATTGTTAACAATTAATGAAAACTGAGCAACTACTTGGTATTACAAAAGTATTTACTTATCATCTGAGACACTGGCATTTAACCAAATTAATCACACCTATGGGAAATGGGCACTTAGTTGATTTGCTAACATCTCCTAACACACCTACATAACCTCACTTAGCACACTATACTATGAGTGTCTATTACCTGTGTGAAATTAGGCTTCTGAGGGCAGAGGCCCAGTCTCTCCTGATTTTCCATGTATCCCAGAGCCCAGCACTGCACCTAACACAAAAGATGAGCAATTAACTTCACAGTGGAATTAAAATTATAACTTACTGCTGAGCTTATAAACTTAATGTTGGCACTGGGGCATCACAATGGAAACAAATGTGCTATTTTATGAAATTATTAAGGTTAAAAATAATTGAATTTGAAAAGATCAATAAAACCTATAAACCTCTAGTCAGGCTAACTAAGAATAAAAGAGAAAGGACTCAAATTACTAATATCAGAAATGGAAGGGGAGCATCACTACAGATCCCACGGACATTAAAGGTATAATAAAGGACTACTATGAACAACTCTCTGCCCATAAATTTGATAACCTAGATGAAATGGACCAATTCTTAAAAGGCACAATTTACCAAAACTCACACCAGAAGAAATAGACACCCTGATGAGCCTTTTTTTTTTAAGAAATTGGACCAATGATTGATAACCTTTGTTAATAGTCAAAAACTGGAAATAATCCATAAAAACCATTAACTGGCAAATGAACAAGCACAGCGTGGTATATCCAAACAATAGCACATTACCAAATAATAAAATGTAACTACTGATACATACAACACACAAGATAAATCTCAAAATAAATCCCAAAAGCGTTATGCAAAGTGAAAGAAGCCAGACAGAAAAGATAAGTTACTATATGATTCCATTTATGTGAAATCCTAGAAAAGACAAAGCTACACTTGGTTTATTTGAAATATAGAAATTTGAAAATTCCTATTTGAAAGCTGATTAGTGGATCCCAGGACCTGGGCTGTGAGAAGATGAATTACAAAGGGTCAAGGAAATTTTGGGGGTGATAGAAATGCCCTTTATATATCATGATTGTGCTGGTGGTTACACATCTGTATACATGTCAAAACTCAGAATTATATGCTTAAAATTGATGATTTACCAGATATAAATTATAACTCATTAGAGCTGACAAAATCAAAACAAAGAAGAAATGCAATGAGGAAAATCGAAGTCAAGGCTTTCTGATCTTCTTCCAAGCACAGATTAGAACTGTGTTGTCAAATATGGCAGCTACATGTGGTTATTGAGCACCCGAAATTTGGCTAGTTGAAAATAAGATGTGTTAGGGGACAGCATGGTGGTATAGTGGTTAAGTGTGCACACTTCACTTTGACAGCCTGGGAATCATGGGTTCAGATCCCTGGTGTGGACCTAGCACTGCTAGTCAAGCCACACTGTGGAGGCATACCACATCAAATAGAAGAAGACTGGCACAGATATTAGCTCAGTGACAATCTTCCTCAAGCAAAAAGAGGAAGATTAGGAACAGATGTTAGCTCAGGGCCAAACTTCCTCATAAATAAATAAATAAATAAATAAATAAATAAATAAAATTTGAAAAAAGAAAAGATGTTTTAAGTATAAAATACACACCAGATTTCAAAGATTTAATAAGAAAAAATAATCTGAAATATCTCATTAATAGTTTTTTTATATTGATTGCACGTTCCAATATTTTGGATGCAGTGAGTTAAATAAAATATATTAAAATCAATTTCATCTGTTTCTTCTAACTTTTAATGAAGCCACTAGAAAATTTAAAATTATCTATGTGGCCCCATTATATCTCTATATTTCTTTTCCATTTACTGCACTACTTTACATATTCAAGACAGAGAAAGATTCTGGAACAGAAAACATTATGTAAAAGTTAATGTCTCTTGTCAAAGGGTATAAAGATAAGCCTGGAGAAAGGAAGAAATTGTGAAGGGGAACAGACAGTTAGCAAGAGTTTGAGTAACCCTTGCCCAGGTACCAGCAGGCCCTTGACCATCGGCTGCTGCTGCTGAGCATAGCCCAGAGGAGACATAGAAGGCCGACTGAGTCTCCGACTGAGGCCATGTCTCAAGAACAGTGTGGATAGGCTAAGAGATGCCAGTCTGGCTGTGTGGAGTGCAGCTCCCAGAGCCTGAGGTCCTAGAGCCTTGTGGATAAAATTAGCAAATGAAAGAAGCCAAATTCATGGCCAGGTGGGAAGAGTTAAATCAGAAGCGAATGCCTGAATAAAGAGGGTCATGTGGTCTTCTAACTAGCAGCATGGGCATCCAATGGAGCTCTTTATGCACAATGTCTTGCTCTCACCAGGACAAGTTCAGCATCTACACTTTAACAAGATCTCCAACTGATATGTATGCACAGTAGGGCTTCAGAAGCACTGCTTTCAATAAGGGAGTTTTCTTCCCAAGAGGACGCAATTTAGGGTGCAAAATAGCTAGAAAGTGTGGGGAGGGGAGGCAGAGAATGGACTGATATTTAGATCTGTAGCATCTACAGGTATTAGAATTAGACCGTCTTAGGCATATGACTGTATTAGAATGGAAGCTCACGACACAATATCCAAACAGCTTTCAGAATAAACGTCACCGACTGGCCAGGGGATATTAAAGGCCGGTCCAGGCTGGGGGATCAGAATGAATGTGAGAAAACATGGGCAGGACTGCCCCCCAGCTGGGAGCTCTAGTGAAAATGGAGTAAAAATCTAAATAGGTAGCAAGTGCATTCATAAGTGAGTTGGGCTTCTTGTGCTTTCGAAATAATATTTTTTGCCTTTGAGTAGGGTTATATTCTACTTTATTGTCTAGAATCGTTTATCTAATAGGATGCAGTCAATAAATAGTCAAATTGGAACATGATCAGCTTCAAGTATTTTTCAAATTTCACTTCAAAAAGAATCACTACCCCATGAATTCAAAACTAATGATTTAATAACTTCGCAAATTAATTAAAATATTGTCCTGCACAGATATTTTTCTCCCTGAGTGTTAGATAATCCATTAACTGAGGATTTTTTTTTAGGACAGATCATAAAATTCTTATCATTTTTGGTTGTTCTCTCAAGTTGTGATATTATATTTGTAATTCCTAATTTTAAAACTATTGTATTTTTAACTTGTTTAGACGTCAGAAGTAGTCATATTCCCCTTTATCACAGCGCATTAACATATTTTATTCCTTACTCTATTCTTTCAAAAATTGTGTTGATTCTGCATTTTTTTAAGCGAGGCATTGAGTCTGTCAATAACAACAATTTAAAAATTTTGAGTATTTACTATGTGTCAGGCACTCTCCCATGTGTTTAAACCTCTGTGTCACTTAATCCTCACCCAAACTCTAGGATATAAACATTACTCTGTCGATTTTATAGATAGAAGAAACTGAAGTTCAAAGAGGTCAAGTACAAGTCGGGGTCACACAGCCTCCAAGGGTCACAGCCAGACTTTGAACACAGGCAGGCTGGCGGCAGCTACTTGCCCTTAACCACACGTTTCTGTCTTGATGAACTGACTGATTAAGCATTGTCCCTAATCTCACTGAGCTCATTTGCGGTGAGGATGAAAAAGAAATAAAGATAAAATAATCCATACCATAAGCTCTGAGAAAGAGTTGGGACTTCATCTCTTGCCCTGTCGCCTCTGCCAAAAGTGACAAGTGGCTCACTCATAGAACGGCAGACTTCTCCCTGTGACAGGCACAGAGAAGTAACCAGAAGCCAGAGCAGCTCCAAATGTGACAGCATCGGGTGCTCAAAGCCGTCTAGAGGAAACCAAGGAGTTTTAAACAGATTCCAAGGAAGAGCGGGCGCTCCCTCGTTGATCTTTTTCCGAACTCTCCCTCTCTTCCCAAAAGGCAGGGCTCCTCAGCCAGCCCCGGCCTTGGAAGAGACGCAGCAGGTCCGGCTGACCGCACAAGGCTCATCTCCCAACCGTCCCTGGGAGGAATCAGACCTCCTGGGGTGGAGGATAAACGGTGCTCACTTCCTGGAGCGGACAGGCTGCAGCTGGGGGGAGGGGGTCACTGACCTCTGAATCCAGGCCAGTCTCGTGGTTTGCCGTGATTCCTCAACAAAACTTCCGGAACTGCCTCCCCTACAACCTTTAGCTCCCAGATTCAGGGTTTAACTACCATTGCCCTTTACACAAACTACTCCTAGCTCCAAAAGTGCCCCTTCTGTGCTCCCTTCCCAAACTTGAGTCAACTCAAAACTCCAGAGGTCTCCCTCACTCTTCCTCCACTCGCGAACCCCACATTCCAACTGGTAGGGAGGGTCAAACCCTCAGTACTAGTGCGCGACAGCGGTGGCCCGCCAGAAAATGGATTTGCTCACTCACCTGGAAGCGGCGGCCTGGATCAGAGCCGAGGATTGCAGCTGCCCCCGCCTCTACCAAAGCCGAGAGACTCCAGGGCAAAGAGGCGGGGCGAGGGGAGGAGGAGATACGGCCGATAGGCCCAATTTGTCCAGTGCAGCTTAGGTCCGGCGCTCCAGGGGTGTGGTCGCCAGTGCCGGGTCAGGCAGTTGGGACCTGTACCGCTTACCTGATGAACAGCAAATTCTGAGGCCTCGGGGGCCACTTGAAGGCCAGAAATTGGCTTTGTAAAGTGTCTTCGCTTTAGTTTTCTGATATCGTCTGTTTAATAACACACCTGTATTCTATATTAATATGTTAATTAAAATGTGTAAATAAAGAAAAATATCTAAAGTTATACAAGTGAGTAAAGATAACCACTTGGCATCATAATGGCGTATTTTGCAAAAAGATCATTAAAAATTGTCAATCTGAAATTATAGATAAAATTTACAATTATATCTGTAATTTTAACCTATGTAGCTGAGAGCATAAATGTTTGTTTTTAGGTCCTTATGAATACATGCAAAGCTTCTAAAGCCTAGGAACTGTAACTATAGGGTTTCAATGGCACAGCAATTCTGAGAAGAAAAGAAAGGCCAAACTTCCTGCTCCAAGGGGACTGAGATGTTGAGTGTGACCTGGTCTGGGAAGGTGGATTAGAGGAGTGGGGCCTAGAGGGACCAGGATGCCCAGATAAAAGTCAGAACAGAAGGTTGGGCAGCATGGCTTCTTCCACTTAGCATAATATTTTTAAGGTTCCTCCATGTTGTATCATGTACGAGTACTTTATTCCTTTGATGAGTGAATAATATTCCATTATATGAATTTTCCACATTTTGTTTATCTATTCATCAATTTTTAGACATTTGAATTGTTTCTACTTTTTGGTTATTATAAATAATGTGGTTATGAATCTTCTTGTACAAGTTTTTTTTTTGGTAAACATAGACTTTTTATTTCTCTTGGGTATATAGACCTAAGAACTGAATTGCTAGATCATGTATTTGCTCTTTTCAGGATCTTCCAGACTGTTTTCTAAAGTGACTGTCCCGTTTTACATCCCCATCAGCAGTATAAGAGGGTTCCAATTTCTCCACATCTTGCCAATATTTGTTATTACGTCTTTTCTATTATAGTCATCTTAGTGGTGTGAAGTGGTATCTCATTGGTATTTTAATTTGCATTTCCCTAAAGACTAATGGTGTCAAGTATCTTTTCATACAATTTACTATCTATTTGTGTATTTTCTTTGGAGACATATCTATTCAGATCCTTTGCCTATTTTTTAATTGGGTTATTTGTCTTTTTATTATTAAGTAAGAGATCTTTATATATTCTAGATACAAGACCTTTATGAGTTCTATGATTTGTAAATATTTTCTCCTAGAGGTTGTC